CTGCTTGGGTCAGGCTGAGTATCAGTCAGTGGGTGCTGAGCAATTGTATTGGGAAGCACCTTTGCTTGTTGGTTTGGGGATTTTTGTGCTTTATATCTTTCCCTTTCCTTTCCTTTCATTTTTTTCCTTATTATTATTATGATTATTATTAGTAGTAGTATATTATAACTTATTTTAAGTATTAAACTGTTGTGGAGTGGAGTGAGCAAGGGGCTGTGAGGTGTTTAGTTCGGGTTAAACCATAACACCACATCAGAATCATCATCTTTGTTTTCCTAATAGCAGGATGGAAATGTCAGCAATGACTGTGCAAGCAAATATGTCTTGTTTTGAAAATAATAACACGAATGAAAATTATACACCAAATACAAATGAAAACACATCAAATTCAGAACCAAGGCAACACACTGTGGGAGGAGTAGGGTCAGTCCAGTGAGTTGCGTTGGTGAAATTTATCTGAATCTCTCAGTGTGAATAAAGGAGCCGGCAAAGTTTACCTGCAGCAATTTGGACAGAAGACCTACTTCTGACCTTGCAACCACTTTGCTAGGAGGCTTGGGTTCCCCCTGCAGAACCACACCAGCAGCACTGGGAACTGCAAAGTGTAGAAACCAGCCATAGTTTGGGAATTCACCTTTTATTTTCTATCTTCTCCACACATGAGAGTCTCTTTCCTATGAACTCAGCGAAACAGACATATAAGAGTCATCTTCAAAGAACAAACCTACTGGTAAGTAAGTTTCCCTTCTCATTGATTTAAATAAGGAATAAAAAGCAGAAGGTCCTGCATGTAGCTAGAACTCAGATCAATTCTGTCACACGCTGTACTACATACCTCATTAATATTACATCTGTGAAAGTTTGATTCTAAGATATCAGATCTAGAAGATATTTTATGCCTATGAAAGCTGGAGGTGACTGTAGTCAGCAGAGGAACACATTTATAGTACCTAAATACTGCTGGAAAATCCTCAGACTTTGGAACATGGCAGGGAATGTTTGTTGCAGGACTGAATCCGTATCTGTGTAGAATATGGTGCTCTGGGATATTGCCCCAAGTGAACTCCCTGCAAAAAACCCTCTGGAGCAATATCATATGGAGTCTCCTTTAAATCAGATTTCTTTTAATGTTTCGAGTAAATACAGGAATCAAGTGCTGCAGAGCTGCGTTGGTGTGTGTGTAGAGGGCCTGCAGTTCCCTCCCATGAGCCAGAAAAATGATTCTAAGTATCCTGTTTTGTTCTTGCATCTTCCAGATGTGCTCTCCTGCCATCCTGGGTGGTCTGGAGGAGCTCTGCCAGATAAAAAAGCTCCTACAGAAGTCATTTTAACACACTTCTCCTCTGCTTTACTGTAGTAAGTTAGTTAAAATCAAAAGAACTCTTCTGGGGGAAATACTCATTTTATGTTCTACTTGGGTTTAAAATAAAAGATGAAATGATCTCTTAGTTCTCTCCAGTTTACTGTTTCTTACAGGTATAGAACATCATCTTACAGAAAATTCATGAGTGAGAGGGAATTTGCTTTTGTGCTATTTAAAAACCGATCAAGCGCAAACCATCACAATTACACACTTAATCTAGGTGTGAGGTTTGTATATGATGATGCTATGTGAATATGTATACGTCCCCATGTGCATGCATCTGTCTTTATAGGAAATAAAAGCTTATCCATTTAAAATTTTACTATTTCAAGCATAAAGGATTGAAACTGATATAAAAGCTAAAGTTGCAAAAAGAAACTATCTGCTTAGATTTGGGATGTAGATTGAACCTCCCAGTCTTTGCTGATCAGGACCTTGATTTTGCTGTTATGGAACAAACATGATTTCTAGCCCAGGCTGAAAGTCTGGTGCAGTGAGCAAAGACTGTTTCTTTCTATAAGGAGAACCCTAAGGTTTGTAATTTGGACATTTTCTCTGTACTAAATTTCATGCCAAATATGGAATACAGAGGTTAAAACTACTGCAGAAACTCCTAGGGACATCATTGTTTTCAGACACAAGGAGACAGGTTGGTTCCATGGAAATAGCTGGAATTCAATCTCCTGCTTGTGCTCAGTATTCAGGGGTTCTCAGATGGGGGTGAAGCTGCATCATCTTGAAGGTTAAATGCTTCACCAGCCAGTAACACGTCAATATTTCCAGGGCTCATTTACACCTGCTGATCATTTGTATAATCATCTAGACATTAAGATCCTTGGGTGACAGCAATGGGTGACAAATGCACTTGTACAGTAAAAGAAAATGGACATATTCTTGTGTTTTCTTGGGAACACTGTCAGTCTCTTATAGACTTTATTTTAGCTATGATTAGCTGCAAAGGCAGATGCCTCTGACTTCTGGTTTGCACTGGTCTGGGCCCATTTTTCTCAGCTGTCTGTGGGTATTGCACTCCCCAGTGTTGCCAGCTCTGACCCACAAGCATTGAGGAGCTGAGGACTTTGGTGATGTGCACAAACCATGGTTAAGGGCTGTGTACATTGAGGTGGCTGGAGTTTACTGCTGTTACAACTGAAAGACGTCTTTCAGAGAAAGCAATGACAACAAACAAGAAATGTTTGCCCAAGAGGTAAATGAATAAAAGTTTCTTCCATCACTTTTTCAATACAAAGAGAAGAGACGTTCCGGAAATCCTCTGTGGACTTTCTCATTTGGTGACATGTTCCCTTCCCTGAATTTTTCATTTGATTGCATGTACCCATGTACCCTTTTTATTGTTAGATTATGTTTTGCTTTCATCACTCTGCATATTTCTCTTTTCTTTTTTTAGATTTCAAGGCTAATTTAAAAGAATGAGACATCATTAAACTCCATCAGGTCTACAATTCTGGTCAAGTAATTTTGATTTGTAGGAAATTCCGTTTTCAGCTCTAACTTTCTCGATTGAGTGGCAGAACAAGTCAAGTACTTCTCACAACTCTTCAGGCTATGTTTATTTCCTTTTATGCAGTTGTTTTAAAGATAAGCTAATTTAGGAGATAGGCATCTCAGACTGTAATCATAATCCACCCCAAGACGAAGCCCCTGTGCCAGTCAGTACTTCCCAGTCCAGTTTCTGTTGGGCCAGCACCTGACGAGATAACATAGGGTAGCATTAGGGACCATCTATTTGGTTTGCTAGAGAATATACACGGATTTTTTCTATGTCCAGCAGCTAGAATAGAATTTTCCTTCCAGCTGCACTGAACATGAACTAGTCCATTGTGGTGCTCATGGTTATAACTTTAGGATGGGACATCATGGCAAACCAGCTCCTACTCAGATCTGTGCGCATGGGGGTCATTTTTAGCCGAACACAACCCACAGTACAATGCAACCTAATAAAGAGGTGCAGAAATAAGAAAGTGAGCTTTGGATTCTCCAAGTTTTGTGATGTTGGCATCAGCAATTTTAGACGTATGTTTTGGATTTGAGTTCTCATTCACTGCTGATTCAGAGTCAGGTTTCTGAGTTCTTGCAAGCTTGAGTATGCTTTTTTTTCCCCCCAGCTTATTGCTAGATTCTTGTTTTGGGAAAATCATGATTTATGGTTCACTTGTGTGAACCTAAGTGATTAAGTCATCAAGTATGAACACGGATGGTGTTTCCACATACTACACTGACATAATAGCCCAGTTTATAGACAACAAGTAACTCTGTCTATAATGGGAACTGTGCCATTGCCTTTACTGAGTGCAGGATCTCAGTATGCAAAACTTCAGCTTTTCATGCCAAATATTGAATACAGAGTTTAAAACTACTGCAGAAACTCCTAGGGACAGGAGCCATTCATGTGTCTGCAGAACAAAAGAAAGATGAATATGCTACTTCACCTGTACATAGTTTTTAAATTGAAAGTTTATAATTTTGACTGAGATGTGCTCAGTTCATGGTAATTTTAGGACATATTCACTTAATGCACAGCTGCAAACAGTCTCCAAATGTGACACAGTTGTACTGTTTTTTCACTTGATGCTGGATATTAAATACTAAAGCAAAACAAACAACCAAGAAATTATGTGTTCTAGTAACCAGATAGCTCACTGTGTTTAGAAAGCTCTCTTGCAATTTTAATACATCCTACAGTAAAAGCAATTTGTAATTAGTTTAAACTGATGTAAGTCATTTCCATTGAAGATCACAAATTGTATATGGGTGTGTTTCCCCTTCTCTTTCTCCCTTATTTGAATAGGTACTAGAGCTAGTCTCATTATTAGTCGCTAATAAGATACTTTTTTTGTCAGTTAAGGTGCAATGACTGTTAATGGCATACTCTGGATTACAGTTTTCAGTGGAAAAGCTTTGAAACAACTTCAAGAAGACTGCACCCATTTGCAGGTACCTTCACAAAGCTCTGCTGTCTAGGGAAGCCCTCACCAGCAGGAGCATTCTGCACGCTTTGGCCAGCTGAACGTTGTGCTCTTCACATTCAGCAAAATATTTGTATATCTCTTTGTGTACTTTGCTACTCAACCAGCTCTGGCTGGCATCAACCTCTAGAGCAGAGCATGGTTGGCCTGAACCCAGCGTAGGAAATGGAATGGTTCCCTTTCCTCTCTGTGGCCCCAGTGACTGGGATCCTCCACTAGAGGATATATCTATTGCTAGATATATGCCTCCACTGGGGCTTCAGCAGTTTTATTCATCTGTGCCCTTGATAGCTGTATTACCTGTTATTCTTAATTACTGTGGAGCACTGCCCCAAATAACTACTGCATTCACAATCATTTCTTCATTATTGGTGTTGTCTGAAATCTTTTTGTCCTTCTTGCCAATTCTGTCATTTTGACAATGGTAGTGTTATTTCTTAACCATTTTGGAGCCTTGAGAGATGAGCAGCAGGAATTACTCATTACTTCTGGCTAACCAGTTTAACAGGATGGCCTGGCTGCCTTCTGTGTGAAATGAAGTTCAGCAAATGAGTTCAGTTTTCATTATATTATTTGATTTTCTTAGCTTCTTATGTGTTATATAATTCTGTTCACTCTTTTCTCTCTGCTGCTATCATTTCAATGTTTAGGTTGAAAGCATCCAACCTGTAGGAGTCTGGCAGGGGACCACAGTCAAGAAGACCTCACCAGATGAAGCTGAGGCTTCTAATGCTGTTTCCCTTGAAACCCAAGAACAAGCTCCTGGAGGCTGTAGGCAAGTTTTTCCAGAAACCTTTTTTGCCTTCTTCAGCTTTTGCTGTTTCATTCAAACCTTTCATATCACCTGCAGATCCGCTTTTTGTATTGCTCTGGTATTAGCACATTCCCATTTGACTTTTGGGGTAGTAGGGATCGGTTTCATCAGCTGTGATCAGAAGGCTGACCACGCACAAGTGGTCTTGTAGCATTGCTGATTGAATAACTTGAGTTTTCCCCTGACAAACAGGATCTCCTGTTGGGCCTTCCACACATTTATTTGAGGATGGGGCTGTTGGAGGGCTGTAGCCAAAGCCCAGCAATTCTCAATAAGCTCGAGAAAGCCATGATATTGCTTGTAGAAATAAATATTTTCTGTAAACTGCACACCTGGCAGACTTGGGTCAAAAAGACTGCTGCTCTTGTCTTTTTCCTGCTTGAATCAGATGGACTTGAGAACATCTAGCTTAATAGCCCTTGTTAATATAATTCAATATACAGGTAAGTAACAACAATGCACATCAGTAATAGCACAGGGTTTTGTTTCAGGCCAAATACTTAAGCTATAGTTCTTCTGTTCATGCTGTTACAGGGGAGGCTGTAATGAATGGTTATTACAGAAAACTGCCTGCATAAAGTGTAACTGCATTTTATAGTGAATAATAAACAGAGAGCAAGTTAGTCTAGCCACCAGCAAATGTGTAGTTTGCACTTTCAGAAGTTGCTAATGTGTCTCTTCATAACTCCTGTTAGAAATGTTTTCTTCATTCCTGCACTCAGGAATGAAGCACCTAAGGTTTCACGGAGGTTTAAGGTACAAAGGCTCAGAGAATACACTGAAGTAAAAGGTACTAATTATGGGAGGGAAGTCTGCTGGGTTTGGAGTGCTGCCAGATCACACAATGTGTTTTGGATGACTATAACTCTGGGGGTTAGTTTGTGGTAGGAAAATAAAATTAACATGAATATCCTAATAATTCTTTCCTTGTCTGTGAAATCAGATTGACAAATCCAGGAGAAAAAACAGGACATGAGAAGTTGGCATTTATTTTCAGTTTAAGCAAAATAGGTACATTCAGGAACACATTTCATACCTTTGCTCAAAATAAATCTTAGTCTAAAATGTCATGCATGGGTAGGAAGTACAGGCTAAAATTCACTGCAGTTGGAATCCAAGTGCTGCCTGGCTTGAATATGTTTTCATTACATGCAATGGGAATGAACTTTGCTTATCTTCCCAGGGATAATTATCACTTGAACCTCAAGTTTATTTGTGAACCTGTCAGCATTCTTCTCTCTATATGCTTTAAAACAGACCACCTCATTATTGCTGATAGTATTATGAACCTATATATAAATCACGTCTGTGGCATCGGACTCAATATTCTGTTGGCCTTGCATGTTTTGTCCCATAACTTCTCCATCTTCAGCTTTCTACATTTGCTCATGTTCTTTCAGCCCTGAGGCTGTATTTGCAGCTCTGAGGAAGAACTGCCCCGGTGATGGGGACTGGAAATGGAAACCCAAGCTCAGTTCTGAATGTTGAGTACAAGGTGTCATCGAACACAGTCATTGAGATTTCTTCTGCCTCCTTTTTGGTAGTCCACAAGGAGGGAAGGGGTTCTCCTCTCTGAGAAATGATTTCCCCCCTCACATGGCAAATTCTGCTGGGAGATGTGCTTCTGCATAAAGCTGCTTCTGTATAAAATCAGTGGTGCTGTGATTTTCACAGCAAACCTGCTTTCCAAAGAGCTCGGGGTCTTAAGCAGAGAGGAAAAATCTCCCTGCTTACTCGTTTCTATTCTGCCATACAATCTCTGTACTGAACACCTCATAGAGGCTTCTCTTTGAAAGTGGCTCCTGATTTTTGGAACTGTTTTCACATCCAGATCTTAAATAGAAAGAGTAAAAATCTTATTTGTTGGAACAAGTCTTAGTCTGAACAGTATCCCAATATCTGAATGTTCCATATTTTGGGGTGCTTATATGAAGGATATCTAATGTGAGTCCATCTCAGTTCCAAATCCTGTGGGAATGCAAAGAGTTTTGTGCTTTGAAATGTCCACCTTCCAGGGAATGGGGGGAAAGTGAACCTGAAATTTATCCTTTTCTTCTTCAAGTTCTCCCTGCTGTGTCCCACAGCCTTGGTGTCCAGGCAGCTCCTATCTGTTCTCCACGTGTTGGCTTCTCCGCTTTGCAGTTTAGATCTTCCTCAGATAAGGGCCATCAGCTCCCAGCAGGCAGAACCCACTGCTCCTGAGCCCCTGCTGTTTTCTCATCCTTCCCTGAGGCACCATCTCATTGCCTGCAGCCTGCAGTCAGACATGTTTCCATGGACTGTCCTCTGACTTCTCTGTCCTGCAGGAAGCTGTGGAAGTGTCACACATGCACACTTTATTTTTTTAGCCACTTGCTGCCTGTCTCTCCTTCCCCAGTTCCTCCCATCATTCTCCGTTATTTATTTTCTATTCCTTTATGCGTGTTAATTCCAATACTGCGCCTCTTAAAAACATCTCTACCAGCTCAAAAGCTGGTATTTGAACTTAATTGCAAAAGCTCAGTAAACACAAGGCTACTTTGCAACTCACTCTCACACATTTGTAAAAGGGCCCAGAGCTGTCAAAGCCCTCAGTGCAATGCAGTGTGTGTATTTATAACGTAGGGATTTCCACAGGTTTACCGTTTATTCTGTTTTCTTATTCCTATAATCAGCACAAACCATTTCAATGGGGAAATAGAATTATCATTATTTGCTTTCCATTATGATGCTAAGAAATTAAGCTGGAGAAGAAAGGGGGACATACCCCACATTATCCCAGGCATAAAATCCCAAACCAACCATGGATTTGCAAGGCCATGTCTGCTTAACTGTAATGGTGCTGATTAGCTCTGAACAATGAAAATGTAAACTGCATGCAAAAATGAAAGTGTAACCAACCAGAGGCCCCACACTAAATGCACGAAATCTTATAGCTAATAAAATATGGTAGCTGATAGTTAACAAACTATAAGACTGGCTGCATTCAAAGGATCCAGTTGGGTTCACAAACAGTATGGTTTTTTTAGATGCAACATATAGCGTTCTTTTGGCTTGCTGGTGATAAATGCATTAACTGCAGGACAGCTGTATAGCACTAACAGTATGAAATTGTTAGTCACAATTGTTAGCTCACAAATTGTTAGCTCACAATCATGAGCTTAATTTCCTGCATAAAACACTTGGCAAGTGGGTGAAACACATAGTTGAGGACACAATACATCCCTGCTGGGGAGAGCGAGGAGGATCAACCCATCCGTCTGTCCCTGCAATTTGGTATCAGGTTCTCATCCCCCACTTAGGTACCTTTATACCTCAATTGTACCAAGTGTTGTGGGTGGGACTCTGGTCAAACCTGTTCCTTGTGGTCGTGTTGTACAGCTTCTTTCTTGGTAGGAGGTGTATCCGGAGGCAGCTCTATTTGTCAGCCATTGTACAAAACAGCCTTTGGTGTCAAGCAGAAGAATGAGTGGCTTCTGCCCTGCTCTACATTCCTCCCTGGTGCTGCAGCAACACAATCACCAGACCTCCATCCAGCCCTATGCCTGCTGCGGCCACCCTGGCCCTCACCACCACCTTGAGCTTTTACATCTCCTTCACTATTCCTGTGCTTCCAACAAGCGGATAGTTTGTGTGTGAATGTACACAGCAACACTTTATTTTGCATTGAAGACATAAATGATTGTTCTTAAAATGTTTTTTAAGCAACTGGGAAAATGGTGTGTATATTGATGCCACTTGGCCTGTCCCACTCTATTTATTCACTTCTATTACAGAGGGAACAAAAGTGTTCCCCCTTCAAATTAGCTTAATGCTTTTGGACTCTGATGGGATAAACATAGCTGTGTACTGCTGTATTTTTCTATACTGTGGCACTGCTGTAGTACAAGAAAACAGTTCCTGAGCTATGGGCCTGGGCTGATTCCACTATGTCCCTAACATCTGGCTGCACTTCTTGTGGTGGAAAAAGTGTAGGGTCACTAGCAAAAGGAAAATACATTGGGTGTTTCTTGCAGCACGTGAGCGGGTCACTTATCAGCCCCAAGCTGCATGAGTGCAGCAGACTCTGCGACACTGATAGCCCAAGAGAGTCAGTGGAGGAAATAAAATGGAGTTTGGCATGGGCATGCAGCTTGCCCTGGCACAAGTGACTTTCCGGGTCCCTGAAGGCGGTAATCCTCACTCCAAAACCAGATTGATTTTCCCTGTCCTGAGGAGTTGCCATCATCCCTTCTCTCTGCTGGGAAAAAGCAGCCCTTTATATTCCCACCTTTAATCACTTTTTCTGTTTGTGCAAGGTCCTTTCCTGTTGTGCCATAGTTGTTAAATGTCCTTTGAGAAGAGATTTTGCCGAAAGCCCTTTTATGAACACCCACATAGAAAATAAGAACTAGATTTTCCCTACCTTCTGGACTGTTGACTCTTTCAAACATATCCAGAGGATTTTTGAGAACTTTTATAACGCCCATGTTGACTTGTCCTCAGAATATTAAATTCATTGATGTGTTCCTTGATGTTATTTGCTTACACATTTTCTATTATTGTGGTGGGTACAGATTCCAGGCTTATGAACCAGTAGTTTCTGAGGTCTCTTCTGAAAGAAATCCTTTCAAAAAGCTGCTGTTGCATTTTCTATATTTCAGACCTTGGTTAATTAAGAAGATTTTAGGTGAGAGGTTATGAACATCATTAAAAATGAATTTGATTGTTTAATCTTTAGTTTCTTTTGTGCTTTTGCTGAATGCCACCTGCTCTTGTTCTTTGCATGTTCCATGACATCCTTTATCAACAGACCATCTTGTGCATCCTCTCAAAGAGGAGCTCTGGCTTTCCTCTATACTTTCTTCTGGGGTAAGGTAAGAATTAATCTAGCCTTTCTGCTATGATCTTGTTTTATCTGAATGTTTCTTTCAGATCTTGATCAACCCCACTGGCTCTCTGGAAGGCAGACTTCCTGCCTGTCACAAGACAACTTTGGGATTTGGTTTTGGCGCTTTTTAAACATTGCTCTTCCACTTTTTGGCCTGCTTCTTGTGCCATTTGCATTTCATCAGCCAGATTTTCTACTTTCCTCATTTGGGCTGATCTTCAGATTTTTCAAAAGGATACCTACTTAATTCTAGCAAGTTTTTCTCTCTGATGCTCAGTCCTTCCACCTTTTCCTTCCTGATCGTTCTCAAGTCCTTGCTGACAAGCAGGTCTGCCCTGCACCTCCAGCACAGTGGACACCAATGTGCTGGTCTGTTTAGGAGGATATGACTCTCTTGGCTCTTCCTCAAAGGCAGTTTTCTAAGAAGGTCCCTTTACCCAGTTCCCCTGCCTGAGGTCAACGCAGTGATCATGAATTTTCTGCCTCCTGTTGCTCTTGCAAAGAGGTTGGATCTAGAGCATGCTGTGGTCTGCAACAGAGGCTCTGTGATCATGAATTTTCTGCTTCCTGTTGCTCTTGCAAAGAGGTTGGATCTAGAGCATGCTGTGGTCTGCAACAGAGGCTCAAAGGTGGCAGCCTGATGGAGGTGTGCTCTGACTCATTTCTTCTCTGGGAGGCTCCTTAAAGAGCTGCCCCATGCAGCAGCCTTGATTGCATCTGAAAATGCAGTCTGCCAGGCACACCTTGGGCCACACAGGGGGTGGCTGAAGCCATCAGTAACTTGTAGCTGAAAGAAAAGGCAAGGGCTTCAGATCCCAGTGCCACAAAGCCTGGGTCTGGGTATCAGACCCCTGCCAAGGTCAGAGGACAGAGGCCACTTTCTTCCCCTGGTTTTGTTGATTTAGCAGGTTTTTCTGGCACACTGTGCTGTGAGAGCCAGCGGAAGGGCAGGGGTGAAACCTATGGCTGGGAGGAGGAGGAGAAGCTGAGGGGCAGAGTGAAACCAGCTCCCCTGGGTAGTGGCACACCATTAATTCAGGAGTACCCTGGAGATGGGAACAGTTCTTACCACTCAAGAGATTATTTTACTGTCCTTTCTAAGGGTCTAGTTTTCCTTTCAGGAGCCTAATTGCTGAGCCCACAGAGGACTTTAAGCATTAATACTGACACTTATTCAATAACTCTGAGCAAAGGTGGCAAAACCAGGTTTTGGTGCCTGAGGGCTGAGGGGCTGATGCTTGGCTGGAGACAGGGAGAGAAAGGGGGCAAGGAGGAGGTGGTGATGGTGGGGCTGGTGGGTGGCAGGGGGGGAGAGAGCCAGGGGTCAGCTTCCTGCTGCTGGGGGTCTGGAAAGCCTTAAAAATGCTTAAAAAATAATAATAAAAAAGGCTTTAACCTGCCAGAGGGGAGACTGAGATGAGCTCTTAGGCAGAAGCTCTTCCCTGGGAGGGTGCTGAGGCGCTGGCAGAGGGTGCCCAGAGAAGCTGTGGCTGCCCCATCCCTGGCAGTGTTCAAGGTCAGGTTGGACACAGGGGCTTGGAGCAAGCTGCTCCAGTGGAAGGGGTCCCTGCCCGTGGCAGGGGTTGGAGCTGGATGAGCTTTAAGGTCTCCTCCAACACAAACCAGGCTGGGAGTCTATGGAAGCTGCCATGGTTGGGCTTGCAGCCAGTCAAGCCCTGCTGCAGAGGGCTCAGCCTTGAGCTAGCCCTAGTAACAGGGATTAGAAGAACGACAGTGCCTTAGGGCAGCTGAGTGAAATCCAAGTTAATCCTTACACAAAGGGAAGGAGTGTCCGGTTGGGGCTGCACAGCCCCCTTGATGCTGATGGTGAAATAAGGGGTCCAGCAGAGAAAAACTGGGCTGCAGCATAGAAACTTACTTAATTTTCAAAATGCACTCTTTGTCCTCTTCTGTCCCTCACTTTTTTTCCTTGTGTTTGTTCCCACTACACCGATGAGGGTTTTCTTTACTAAATTCAAAGTGTATTTGTGTGGCAGGGGCGGCCTTAAAAGCAAAATCATGTCACGGTTGTTGATGATGGCAGAGGACAGCAGCCTCTCTTGGGCAAAATTCCATTTTACTGTGGCTGGATTTTAAGCAAGGACTGTAAACATTGGGTCAACGAGATTGGCCACTTTCTCCATTAACGCGATCAGCAGGACTTGCCCTGATGGCAGTGATTCGGAGAAAACTCCAGGAACAAACTCGCCAACAGAGTTTCAAGTTGACAAGCAGGTATTCTTTATTGGGGCGCCGGGAGACACGGGGGATAGCTCCTCCTAAGGGGTGTCCCCGCATTGCTATACAGGTCATCCTCGTGTGGTCACTGAGCATATTACATCATTTTCCAAAAAGTTTCCGGCATGCTTACAAAAATGTGGTGGTCTTTAAGGGTCGTTTACTTTTCCCAACAAGCTTAATTAACATTACAGACATAGCAATCATCCTGGCCTTCTACTTATCAGTTAGTTTAACTGCTCTCATCCTGGGCATCTGCTAGTCCGGGATACTCCCTAGTAGGTGCTTACACCACCTTAATGGGTTTATTAACACCTCAAGCATAGCAATCATCCTGTCCTTTTACTTATCAGTTAGTTTATCTGTGCCCACCCTGCACATCTGCTAGTCCCAGATACTCCCCATCCCCAGGTCCTGTCCTATTCTGCTTTTGTCACACCTTTTGTACTGAGATCCTGAGGGCCTGAACCTATGTCAGCTACCTTCAAGCACCGCAGTTATTTTCCATTACAAAGCCATCAAACTTAACATTACTTAGAACTGATTGCATTTTGTACTTTTGTGCCTCCTTGTTTCAGCAGACATCGAGTTATGTCACCTTCTGGGAGGCTACAGCCAGAGCCAGGGCTGCCCTTTGACTGTGATGCTCCAGGGCACACTAAGCAAACCTACCTCGGTCAGGTAATGCTTCCCATTACAAAGCAAAACTAAATGCTGACATGAGGTAAGTGGGATTCAGATGCTGCTTCTGAACTTGCTTCTGAAGTGCCTGCAAGGAAAGATTTGAATTGCAACACAGTTTGTTCAACTCTAATTGCGTAACAGTTGTAGTAACAACGGCTTATGGAAAAAAATCAGTTCTCTGTCTTTGGTATTCTGCTGGCTTCACCGACATGAAGGATTTGATTGCAGAAGCTATAGTTTCTTGTTGACTTTAATTAAATTTATGACCATTTGGCATTACTGGAAATACAGAGCTAATTCACGAGCTGCATCATTGTAAAAAATGTTGTTAGTTTGCTGTAATATGACCAAGTATTACTTTTAAAATATGTTTTAGTTGTAGAGATAGAAATAGCAGCCATTTATGTCTGCAATATTTCTATGGACTCCCTGCCAAATAAGCTCACAGGCAAGAGTGCTATGTCAAGTAGCAGAGTAGCTGCGCCACCACTACCCATGCATACTATCCCTTTCCATTTGATGTTGCCAGAGGACCCTTAGGAGGTTTTTCTTAGTCTGTTTGGGTTTGGTGCATCTTGGAATTTCATCTCTCCAGTCTGCTCCTGCAGACTTTTTTCTCTTCTAGTTCCATGTGAAGAAAATAATGAGAGGGTAAATCAAGCAGAGTGAGTGCTAATAACCACAGTGCTCAGTGTGGGCCCCAGCCCACATGCTCAGCACCAAAGAGCAGTGTTTCTTCAGAAGAGCCTGCTGTTCCTCCTTTTGCTTTTCTTGGACACACAGTGCAAACGACTGAAGCACTTTTCTGAACCTACTGCCAGTGTCAGCAAGTTAACAGCCTTCCTGAGATCGTTCACTGCTGACCCAAACTCCCTCGTTGGAGATAATGCTGCCTGGATAAGGCCAGGATGCGATAGGTACAATATAAACCCTAGGTGAATACAAGGCAGTGGGGTTCCACTGGATAGTCTATGCATGTTGGTGTGTGCCGCCCAGGTCCTTGGTAGGAAGATGCTGGATCTTGGCACTGTCCAGTGAGTTTAGTTTCAGATCCCGGTGATAACAAGTGCAGCTTTGAACACTGTGAGCTGCAGCTATGTGAGGGATGTGGCTCCTGGCATGTAATCGCACAGAGAGCAGTAGGCCCCGGCTGCACTGGGGCCACGGGCAGGCAGCAGGGAGTGGGGTCAGGCAGGGTAGGCAGCAGGGGGGTTGCAGGCAGCGGGGCGGTGCAGGCAGGGAAATCAGAGTGGGGGCTGAAGGCTGGCCAGGCAGTGAGTGCAGGCAGGGTAAACAGCAGGGCGGGGTGCAGGCAGGAGAGGCAACTGAGCGGGGGCAGGCAGGGCTGGCAGCAGAGTGGAAGTGCAGAGGGGGCAGGCAGCGGGAAGGGTGCAGGCAGCGGGAAGGGTGCAGGGGGGGCAGGCAGCGGGAAGGGTGTAGGCAGCGGGAAGGGTGCAGGCAGCAGGGGGGGCAGGCAGCGGGAAGGGTGCAGGCAGCCGCATCCCACCCAGGCAGCTCCGGGGAAGCCGTGTGTGACCGGGCCGACTCCCAGGTGCCGGTGGCAGCAGCCCCCGTGGGTACGTGTGTCACCGCACGGCGCTGCCCGGTGCCCCGGGGCCGCAGCGGGCGGGGAGCGGCTCCCGCAGCGCCTCGGCTCCCGCCTTCCTCCTCCCACTCCGGCTCCGCGGGGCGGGGGCGCGGGCCCGGCGCGGGCTGGCGGGGCCGCGGCAGCACCTCCCGTGGGACACCGCCCCCTTCGGCCCGGCCCGGCCCGGCCCCGGCGGCGGAGGGCGGGTGGCGGCGTCGCGGCTGCACCTGCCGGGGCTCGGCAGGACTGGTGGAGCCATGCCGGCGGGCACGGCGCTGGGGCTGGACGTGCCGCTGACTGCCGCGCCCGGGCGGGACAGCGGCGGCGCGCACCGATACACAGGTACGAGCGCAGAACGGCCCCGCGCGGTCCCCAGTCCTTCCTCTTGCAAGTTCCTCCTGCGCCGCACCGAGGGCAGCGCCGGGCCCAGGGCAGGGTGCGGGACCTTCCCCTCCCGCCCACCGCGTAGGGATGCGGCATCTCTGGAGCGAGGTGCGTGTCCGGGGGGGGGGAGGCGCGGGACCCGGCCCGGGCTTGCGTTACATCTCCGCCCGCCCCTGCAGCCGCAGAACCCCTCCCCAGGCAGGGCACCCCCTGCCCCTTCCCGTGCGGGGTCCGCGGCCGGTCCCTGCGGCCCCGGAGGGCGGCGGGAGGGGATCCTCGGCCCCACTCTGAAGTTCCTGGGGACACAACGCCCCGGGCGAGTGTCCCGGAGCCGCCCTGGGGTTCGGCGGGGTCCCGGCGGCACGGGCACGGCTCTGCCGGGGCTGGGCTCCCGGTGTCGGGCGGGAACGGCGGCTCCTGCGGCCAAAGGCTGTGGTGGCCGCCCCGGAGGTGCGGGGTCAGGCGGGGCGGAGGCCGGGCCGGGCATCCCCGGTGATGGGTGTCCCAGCAGGGGAGCTCCTGCCCAGAGCCACCCCGGCCGGTCCCCCCGGTGCCTCAGCAGGGGGCTGCTGGAGCCCGGCAGGAGCTCGGGGCAGCGGCTCTGCCCGGGGGGTCCCCAGGCAGCCCCTCGCTGCGTGGGCCTCTCCGGGGTTTAATTAGTTCGGGTGAATAGGAGGCACTGCCGCTGATGGTTTTTTTCGGGTTACTGGGGCGCCCTTGGGGTGCTGCGGGCTGAGCAAGCATCCCTGCGAGGAGGGAAGTGTACAGCACGGCAGTCCTGTTCGAAAATGCTGGTCCTCAAAGAGAAACCGACGCCGGGCAGATGTCAATTGACTGGGTAGAAAATTAAGAGAGTGGTGTTTTAATGGAATAGGACAACACACTGAGGAGTGGAATGAAAAACCAACCAAAGCTTTTTGCTTCCTTTTCTTTCCCCACTTAGCTTTGGTTTTAATTTTGATCCTGTAGATGACAACATCATTTCAAAACCTCTTTGACTCGAATTAACTTCATCCCATTAATTTGATGATGACGGGAGCTGATAGAGGGTCTGGCCCTGACATGGGTGGCTGTGCTCACTGCAAAGGGGCTGCAGCCCCTCCGGGCAGCTGGCTCTGGGCGGAGGCAGAGCTGTGGCTACCAGCAAGCCTGAAGCAGGAGTACAGGTGGATGAGGAGCCAATGGGAGCTCCAGGCAGCTATGGGTGAGCAGTTTTCATAGAATACTGAAATCCCAAACTGGTTTGGGTTGGAAGGTCCTTAAAACTCCAGCTTCAACCCCTGCCATGGGCAGGGACACCTTCCACTAGAGCAGCTTGCTCCAAGCCCCTGTGTCCAACCTGGCCTTGAACACTACCAGGGATGGGGCAGCCACAGCTTCTCTGGGCACCCTGTGCCAGCGCCTCAGCACCCTCACAGGGAAGAGCTTCTGCCTAAGAGCTCATCTCAGTCTCCCCTCTGGCAGGTTAAAGCCATTCCCCTTCGCCTGTCCCTACATCCCTTGTCCCAAGCCCCTCTCCAGCTTTCCTGCAGCCCCTTTAGGCACTGGAGCTGCTCTAAGGTCTCCCCTTCAGGAGCCTTCTCCAGGCTGACGCAGCCCAGCTCTCTCAGCCTGGCTCCCTGCCCAAGTGCACATAGCAGTGTAGACAGGGTTTTCCCCTGGCTTCAGCACAAGCAGGTCTGGGTGCTCCTGAAATACAGGGAGCCCTTCTTCCGACAGGCTCCCTGACTTCATGTGCTTATGCAATTCTAACAGACTTTATCAATGACCTGATTTTGTTGTGCTGATACAAATGAGCAAACGTGTTTGAGCTAAAAGTGTAGCGGTGCTTTAAATTGCACCCACTGAATGTGCTTAACTGTGCATTTAGTTTGAATTTAATATGGCAGTTAATTTTAAAAATGCAAAACAAGTTCTGGGGAACCTGCTTAGAGAATTAACAACTCAAGTACAAGTGTGGACCCTGGTGCTGTTTGATGCTAATGTTACTAGTTATTGACCTTTTTTCTTTTGTAAAATCATATATATTTGGCTGCTTTTATTTGCTCTGTTAAATTGTCTTGTCAGGCAGGGTTTGCCCACAATTAAAGTGAAGTTAGAAGTGGCATTCCCATGTTATGCTCAGCCTTTCTGTTCCTGCCTTGGCTAATCTTGACCATGTAGATCCTGGCACACCCAGAAATTCATGAACTTCAAAAAAAAAAAAAATAAAATTGTCATTCAAACTAGAAATCCACCCCCAATTAATGCTGCTGATCGCTACAAACCTGACCTCTCTCAGCCAGGTCTCCAAACAGAACAACAAACAAGACTTTTTCCATGCCAAGTACACCAAAGCTGTGGAGCTGTTCTCAGGGAGGTGCTCAGTTGGAGTAAGAAGTGAGCGTGGAGGATGAGGGCATGGCTTATGCCTGCCTGTGACTGCTGCATCCCCTGTAGGACCAGCAGAGATGCTTCTGGCACACGGGGCTTTGCTAGCTCTTTGCTGGGTGTCATGCTCCTTCATCACCTCTCATTGTCCTGCTGCTTTCTGGAGGTTTGTCACAGCCTTCACCATCTGTGCAGATTTCCCATTTGTTGAATATCCACTTGTTACTATGAATGTATTGAGTTAGGTGGACGTTGTTGGTGATCAGTTTTCATGCTGCTTTGATTGAGTGCACCCCCCTTTGTAAAATTTCAGGCCTCACACATTCCTTTTGCAGAGAATGAAAAAAACGTGGCAAGATTCTCATTTGAATCAACACATGAATGAGAGAGAAGTTAAAGGAAGTTCCCCAGCACAGCCTGTAAGCTCTTAAAGGGTCTTGCAGCTTTCTGAAGCACAGCTGTGAAACTCAAACACCCTCTGCTTTTCTTGCGGTTTGAGGTTTAAAAACTGCATAGATGAGGGCCTCAGTGACGTGGGTTACTGGTGACCTTGGCAGTGCTGGGGAACAGTTGGACTTCGTGATCTTAAAGGTCTTTTCCAACCTGTTTGATTCTATGGTTCTATGATTCTATGACTGGTTTCCCTCTCTGACAGTCTCACCCTGAGCAGGGAGAACTATTCCACCCCATGCTCAAGGAGGTTCAGCAGCACATTTGGAAAAGGAGCTGTAGGAGCCTGGCTTACACCTTGGGAAGGGCAGCGTGTTGCTCAAATACTCTGTGTATTAGAAGGGCAAATGTGCATGGGGTGGGGGAAAAGTGCAGCGATATATCAATGCTAAGAAGAGGCCTTCTTCAATTCAGCCTCTTACATTTTTAAATGATACAAATGTTTTTATGTGTTCCATATCGTACTGTGGTTATTTTGCTGTCAATGGCAGGATTACAATATTATTGCCTTTCTGCAGTAGTTTATTATGGACAGATACTCATTGACCATCTTTTGCCAGACCATTCTGTTATCTGGAAAAGCCTCTGCAGTTCTGGAGTGCTCATGTCAGTGGTGGCCAGAATGCTTCCCTGCCCTGTGGGAATCGCCATCAAGTGGGTTTGCGGCCGCCAACCCAGCTTTGCCACTGAGTTGCTATTGCTTCTGAGATGCGCAAATTATATTGGGAGGTCTTTGGGTGCAATAGGAAAAAGAGGAACGAATAACAGAGCTGTATCGTTATTTTTAGCCTCTGTGGTGCTGAAGCTGGGGGCTCTGGCACTCTTTTTCTGGGTGATACCTCGGGTTTCGCTGTGATTCCTCCCTCATTCCTTAAAGCAATCTTGTAGCTCTTTTACACCAGGGCTGAACATACTTCTTTAAACATCTAGATGCATCTACAGACATCAGTGCGGACACAGACAAAGGGAGTATAAGGAATAAATGTAGAACATGACAGAAAAAATCATTTTGCCAGGTTGTGAATTCTTAGGTCTGGTGCTGTGGTTCTGCTTTGTCCCTCTGCCTCCCTGTACCAGGGACAAAGAGAGGCTGCCTAAGGTGGGGTGGAACGTGCTGCAGGACCCTGTGAATGCTACCCCAAGACTAAGTCATGGAAGAAATGATCTAGCAGACACCATTTAAGGGAAGAGACATGATCTCTGGTTTGGGACAGACACAAGCTGCATTTTGCTGAAGGATGGAAGAGGTATCACTGCATGTTTGCTTGGTTATACTCTGTGACTGGTAGTGGCTGTGGTGGGAGGTAGGTATCAGGCTGGGTGTACCCTTGGCATGACTTGAGGTGTCTCTTCTTTTGTTATGAGCAACCTTTATTTTCTGGAGTGAGTTTCCTTGCCAGTGCAGGAACAGTAAAATTGTGACTCTGAGAGCTTACAGTTTCTCTTCCAGGAAAGCGAAAGCGAAGTTGTTTTTCAAACCCAAGAGCACTGCTGCTCTGCAGAAATGCTGCAAGGAGGTTTCTCACATTGTTCCTGCAATCCTGAGACATGGCTCAGTTTTTAGGTTGGGGAAGAAAACATTGATCCTAAATTTTCAATTTCACAGGGTAGAAGATGGCATGTCTTGGAATACATGGACTTGTGACTTTTTTCAGGGTTATTTCTCCTTCCTTCTTCTCCCATGAGATCAAAGTAAAACCTTTTATTAAATAGGGTAAAAGAAGTGACAGTTGCAGAATTTCAGCTAATTGGTTTTCTCTCCTATAGTGCAAGGTGCTAATATTAGTGGTTAGGCATTTGCACCAGGCATTGATCCTGCTTTGAGGCAATGATTTTCGTGCTTGTAATGAGCACTCTAAACCAGTACAAAATAGAAAAAGAAAAGAGTTATTAGGTCTTCTGGCACATTCTTTCACAGTGCAAGATTGTTCCCTGTGGTTTTCTTCAACACTGTGTTCTAGCTACTCTTAAATTACCTAGGTTATAGAGGTGAATTATGTCTAGACTTCAGAATTTCAGCTAGGGAATGAAAGGAGCTGAATGTTTTGGACCCAGAACATTTGACATTTCAATAATCAGAAATCAGCCTTAAAACACAAAACCAAAACCACACAAATGACAACAGGTAATCCAGCACTTTCTGGGTTAGTTGTGACCAGAAATGTGGTTCATTTTAAAGAGCCAAAGCACTGCTGATTTTGCTGTTTCCACAGTGACAGAGTGAGGAGATCTTTGGATGTTTCTTGTGAGAAAGTGAAGCCTCCCATCACATGTCTGCAGCTCTACAACAGAGAACTTCAGCTGTGCTGAAATTAGCACTGTTCATCTTATTTAGTCATGATCGGCACTGACTTACATGCCTGCACTAAGAGTCTTGCCTTCAATAATCTGATGGAGACAAGCCAACATGTAGGACAGTTGTTAAGTTTTCATTTAGGCGTATTATTGACATGCTGTCTTTCAAATGCAGTCACAGATAAGCAAGTAGGTTATTCTGAGGAGCAGTTTTGACTGGCTCAGTGCTTCAAAAGATTGACAGAGATGATTTTGCAGTACTGGTGGAAGTCTGCTTCGTGCATTTTGTTTTGGTTTGTTTTAAGATGACAGTGAGAAATGCAGAACTTGCAGAATGAGCAATTGCTCACCAAAATAAATCATAGAATCCCAGAATCCCAGAATAGTTTGTGTTGGAAGGGACCTTAAAGCTCCTCCAGCTCCAACCCCTACCACGGGCAGGGACCCCTTCCACTGGAGCAGCTTGCTCCAAGCCCCTGTGTCCAACCTGGCCTTGAACACTGCCAGGGATGGGGCAGCCACAGCTTCTCTGGGCACCCTGTGCCAGCGCCTCAGCACCCTCACAGGGAAGAGCTTCTGCCTAAGAGCTCATCTCAGTCTCCCCTCTGGCAGGTTAAAGCCATTCCCCTTGGCCTGTCCCTACATCCCTTGTCCCAAGCCCCTCTCCAGGTTTCCTGCAGCCCCTTCAGGCACTGGAGCTGCTCTTAGGTCTCCCCTTCAGGAGCCTTCTCTTGTCCAGGCTGCCCCAGCCCAGCTCTCTCAGCCTGGCTCCAGAGCAGAGCTGCTCCAGCCCTCGCAGCATCTCCGTGGCCTCCTCTGGCCTCTCTCCAACAGCTCCACGTCCCTCTGGTGCTGCTGCCCCAGAGCTGGATCAGGGCTGCAGGGGGGGTCTCCCCAGAGCACAGCAGAGGGGCAGGATCCCCTCCCTGAGCTGCTGCTCACGCTCTGGGGGTGCAGCCCAGCACATGGGGGGGTTCTGGGCTCAAGCACATGCTGCCAGGTCACAGGGAGCTTCTCCAGTCAATTCGTGTCTGTTGAGTGTCTCAGAGGTGGGTTTGAGCTGGTGCTTGGTTTATATACCAGTTTTTG